CCATATGCAGGAAAATCACTAATTGTCCAGATCAATGCTGTCTTCATATTAAATACCTGGTCTCTCGACACATCGTACGTGGGGACTCCATCATACCAAGAACGTCTTAAATCCTCGATAACCGGTTGCATATATACGTCTAGACGTTTTTTGGGATTGTGCGGTCCAGGACAAATTAAAGTTAGGAACAAAAACTCACTACGCATACACATGTCAGGCGGTAGATTATACGGTGTAATCATCACAGGCCAACAAGAGTATTGGGCTCCAAACTGTCCATGTGGGGCAAATCCGTCCGTGCAGAGGCCTATACGTACATTGCGCGGTTCACACGCAAAATAGGGATGACAACGATCAAAGTGTTTCCATGCTTCAGAATCTGACGGATGACACATTAACCCAGGTTCAATTTCATGTTCAACTTGCCAGGTCATGTGTTTTGCAGTGACAGGCGAGGCATACAACCGTTGTAAGCGCTGAATAAATGGTAGATATATCAGTTTTGATCTAGCACGACGCTTCCGAAGCTTACCTCGTCTTTCGCTCGTAGGCTTGTATCTAGACTACCCGCAAAATTTGCATGTGTCCAGTTGTTCATCATTTTTCCAAAACAACATACAACCAGCAGGACATGCATCAATTTTAACAACTGGGAGTCCTAGCTCAAAAATCATCTTCTTTAAAGTATAAAAATCTGTAGGTAAATTATGATCTTTTGGTAACCACGCTCCAATAGTTTGTAACCATCTTGACATACAGGCCTCTGGGAGATTCCAATCCGACTTTATGCTCAAGATTTCTGACACGGCAGCTAATGTCGATTTCTCATCGCAATCAGGATATAACGGCTCGTCAGCTGCCTTCAACACTTTTAAAAATTGATCAGACAATGTATTAATATCGTCAGTATGTTGATGAGACGATGAGCTCGGAACATCATTAAAATTTGACGATGCAGGAAAAGCATTAGGTGCCATTGCATCATACACAACCTGTTGGTCCCAAGTCATGTTCTCATAATTACCCCATGCAGAAACTGACTCTGGAACTACATGTGAACTGCCAACTGTCTGAGGAAAGTATGACGGATTCAATACTTCGCCATGACAATACCAAGTATAATAATTCTCAATAAAACCTTCTGTGTATAAATGCCAACGCAAGTCGTCTTCAGTAACAAAGTACATATTTTTACATTTCCCACAAGGACATCGAATTTTCTCTCTATCAAGAAATTCAGTTTGGGCACTTGCAAATGTAATAAATTCTTCTACACCATCAAGATATTCACGTGTCAAACCGCGTTTAATCAAAGCATTTTTGTTGTACATCCAACTTCTAGATGATATAGACATAGTACCTGAGTTACAAGTGCTAGAAAAATTATAATTTTTAAAAAATAAATCACACAAGAATAATTTTATATCCTAAAATCAATGAAAAGACAAAAAATTTTAGGCACG